GGCAAAGAGGAGGGCGGCAAGCGGAGCCCGCCGGGGCTGGGGCTGCTCGCCAAGACCCCCCTGAGCCGCCCGGTGAAGAGGAACAACGCCAAGTGCCGCCGCGTCCAAACTTTGCTCTACGACGCCCTGGAGCGGCCCCGCGGGTGGGCGCTGCTCTATCACGCCTTCGTGTGAGTACCGAGGGCGCGCGCCCCGCGACGCCGTTTTGCTTCATCATTCCCCGCGTGCGGCTCCTAAGGAAGCGGGGGGAAAGATGAGGAGGAAAAAAGCAAGGATCTCATTATAGCATGCGCTGCCGCCGCGTCCAAACTTTGCTCTACGACGCCCTGGAGCGGCCCCGCGGGTGGGCGCTGCTCTATCACGCCTTCGTGTGAGTACCGAGGGCGCGCGCCCCGCGACGCCGTTTTGCTTCATCATTCCCCGCGTGCGGCTCCTAAGGAAGCGGGGGGAAAGATGAGGAGGAAAAAAGCAAGGATCTCATTATAGCATGCGCTTTGGGGTGGTTTTGTTTTTTCTTTCTGTCAGCAGCTCCTTTTAGGTTTTTATCTTCTTACACGTATGCGTGCGGTGCCTTGGACTGACACGTCCAAAGTTGCATCTCGCGGACCCTGGAAAAGGGATGCTCCGAGCTCTGGGCAGTGTTACGTTCAGGGAGCTTAAAGGGACCCTGCCGCTCCAGCCTGGAGCACTGCATGTGCTTAAGCAAGAAAGCCCGAGTGAGCAGACTCTTGCAATAGCTGAAAATGTCAAATGAAACCCCTTGGGATTTGGTCTGATAAGCATCGCCCTGCAGCGCGTGAAGCCCAAGCATTGCAGAAGCAGAACGTTAAACTGCCCACAAGCAAAGCGAGTCTGAACGGACTCGTCCTGTGGCCCAGAGGCATCAAGCCAACACAGTGGCAGCTGCTTTGCCTCCCTGTAATTTCTGAGCTTTTAAGTTTTGGTAAGGAATACAGGAAAATAAATGTTTGCAGCCTACACTGCAGGATCTTTGAAAATGTGTTTTTCAGTTTCATTAATGTGTGAAGAACTTTTTTTTTCAGTAATCGTGGTGTTATTTTATTTATTTATTCTGTAGCATATACTGAGCAAAAATCCAATACTGGATTTAAGCAGCAATTTCTGATCAGGTTTATTTACCGAAGGCTGTAGAGGCTGCAAACCTGCAGCTTGGGAAGTCCTGAGCACAGGTGTAGTCTTCAGATTTGCAAATACAGACCTTGAGTTTAGGACTGCAATTTTACTTTTACATGAATTCCTCATTCATACTTGCAGGGTTTTTGCCTTGGGCAAAGAATAAAATGCAGGGCTCACAACTGAAGTGCTACTGTGGACTATTCGCTTACTGCTGTTACTTTCTTTTGGGTATTTTTGGAAGCCTATCTTGGGATAAAGCTTGCTGTCTTCCAGGTGGTTTTCTGTGAAAATCTATACACGAGATACAGCAGGATTTTTCCCAGTCCTTTCGCCTTAGGAAAACTTACGAGAGCAGATGGGGAGAGGGTGGGTTTGGGGTGTGTTAGGTTGGGGAAAAATTCTGTGTTATATGCAATACATAACATAAGTGCTTGGCATTATGTAACATTGCCCATGCTTGAGAGAGGTGAATCCCTGTCACTGAATGTCCCTCTCCAGGCAGACCATGTGAAAGAGGCTTCATTGGGGCCAGCTCATATGAGAGCTCCACGTCCAAGCTGCACCAGGGCTCGTGTCTGGATATAAGCAATAGGATGATGGGTACATCTGGACAGGTTCAAAAGCTGAGACTCCCATTTATAAATAAAATTATAAAAATTTCCAGATTACAACATTAATTTTAGATAGCTTCTCTGATGTGGCTGTTAGGGTCAGATCTTTGTGTCACATGGGTTGTAGAAGTGACAAAATTTTAATTTGTTTGTAAGGTTTGATCCTCCTCAGGACTGGACCTGGTATTTTCCATGGAAATGGTATGTGGCCTTCCATATATGACTTTGGTGGACAGTCAGTCCTGTTGACCTCTGTGCCAGGAGCTCGACTTGCTGTTACACGTGCCAGCCAGCGCCTGTTCAGACAGTTGTGACACATTCAGCATTAACAAAAGAGCACCTTTAGGACTCCTTGTCCTTAAAAGAAGCAAAATACACATCCTGTGGTTTCTTTAGTAAGGTTTTGCTCCATTAATATCAAAGGCCCTCTGATAGCTAGGAACTCAAATGTGTTTCTGGGCCAGATCCTCCTTGAGCCCTAGTGCACTCCATGAGGATGGGGGAGTGCTGCTGGGCAAAGTCTCCATGCTTGGTGTTTGGGGAAAACAGGCTTTACCACACTCCTTACTCCTGATGGAAGTGCAGAGTGTTCTTCCTCAGAGGGCCCGCAAGAGCAACAGAGAAGGGCACAAAACCCACTCATCTGGATGTCCCCATCCTGACCCCGTGAGCAAGGTCTCCTTCCAGCAGCAGCTCACTCCAGCCTGGGGAGACAGCCACCTCCTCCTAGTGCACCCAGTGCATCTCAGCAGTCCCAGGCCACTTGCATTTCTCTTCTCTTGTGGCTAGTAGATATATTCCTAACATATCTCAGCTCGTCCTGAACTCAGTGGAAGATGCAGACTGCTGCAATCTATCCAGCCATACTGGCTAGATCAAACCCTATGAAACAGATCTGCCCGAAGTGATAGAGGAGTAAAGTTGAAATGCTATTGCCAGCACCTAGAGCTTGTTCCTGTCATGGGAGAAAGATGACCCACTTGAGAGCAGGAGCAATACAGCAGAGTAGCAGTGCTCTCAGTTGAAATCTGAAGTTCTTTTTTCCTTTGAAATGAGTGGTCTTTCAACTCTTTTCTTTCTGAAAATGAGTCTCTCATGTTGGAGATGCTGCTGTGGTGCTGCATTATGCTGCGCAGGCAGCACTGCTTTCCACGCTAGCACAGTTTACAGTTTCTCCTGGGCTGGTGATAGATTCCCAGGCATTCTATAAAATGCACAGATTTGCTATTTTACTTTTAAATAAATGTCCTGTTTACCCTAATGAAGCACTACATGTTGTCTCAGTCTTCAGAGTAGCTTGCAATAAATATTGTACAATCAAATAAAGAGCAAGACAGTGACTCATGTATGGAAAATTGAGAGAAGATTTGGCTTGAGGGGCAGTATGGGTGGATGTAATTAATCCCTTAGAGACCCAGGAACGCATAGGTTTTTTAGGAATAGCCCATGGAAAGGAGCCTAGTGTTGCCTATCCCAGGGCTTAGGAAGTGAGAAACCGATAGGGCTGCAATGTTCAGAACATATCAGGGTGCTGTGTGTGGGCAGGGTAAAAGGTCTCTGCAAAAATTTTGGATGCCAGAACCGGTCAGCTTGCATTGGCAGTGATTCACAGAAAAAGGTGTTAGATATTTTCCTGTGATCCTTCCTCCTTCCTTGTTCCGCACGTGTGAGCCTGTCCAAACTCATACCAAAGAGAGAGCGGGTATTGTATCCCAAAGAAGCTGCCTCCATTTCTTTCACCTTCTGAAAATGTCTCATCTTTTAACACATTGCTAGACAAAAACACCTGTAAACTTTTGCTCCACTAGAACACCAAGGTCTGTAGACTTTTTTGCAATATAGCAATAGTTTAATGGGGTTGTTGGCCAGAGAAAAGTGACTATCCCATGAAAGATTTCAGATATGAAATGCTAGACTCCTGAACAGTTGCATATAATGATTTTTCTTTTTCTTTCCTTCCTCCCCCCCTTTTTTTTTCTTAAATTGGAAATATTTTCTGAGCCTTGTAGGGCAGGCTACAATCCATCCCTGCTCTTTTCTGAGCTTGTCTCCCTGCAGTCCTAACTGCATTCCCCATGATGCATTATATATTCCTTCATATTGAGCAGTGCAGTGCATTATAGGAATCCCCTGCTGTTGTGGCTCGTGGGAGGTGTAATTTGGCCAGGGAGATGCGCTTGAGACCCATTCTCCTCCACAAGCTGTCCAAATACTTTTCTTATGCATTGAAGTGCAATGGAATCTGAATGACAAATTGAAAATAAATACAATTTCTTTTTTTCTTCTTTTTTTTTCAGTTTGACTGTAAAGACATAATATTTTGTGTAAAATGGATGGGCTCCAAAGAGGTAACAAATCCACATCAACATTACGGTGCAGCATGTGGAAAATTTTCAGCCTGTCTTAGGTAAAAGAGAGATCGAAGAAGAGGTGCCTGGGGGATATTCTTATTTTTATATCACCCCCTGTAACAACTTCAACCTTTTCTTTCAGGGAAGAGTAAGAGTGAGGGAAAACACATGAAAACCTTATCCAATTTGCCATGCAATTATCTTTCAGCACTGCTTAGTATCTTGAATGCCGAAGGAGAAGGAATTATGCAATCTGTCAGGTCATCATTGGGAAATACCAATGATTCTTTCCTGCACGATGGATCACGCATGGGTTGTTTGCCGAGAAGGGTGTTGCAGGAACCAGGGAGCAGGTGGAGGTCTGGGATCTTTCCATTATTTTCTCTGTGTCCTTTGGGAGATGCTGCATAAGACATGCTGAGTTGCAAGGCTCAGGCTACAGTCAGCTGCTTGGCACAAGACGGGAAATGGCCCGGGGTAAGGAAAAGGATAATTATGATTCCCCCCTCTGCTCCTGACTTGGCCTGCTTGGCATGGGTTTATCTCTAAGTGAATCCATGGAGCAGCAGAGTAAGCCTGGTCCATTAGCAAGTGTCCTTTGCTTATGTATTTGACAATTCTTGTTCTGTGTTAATTATTTATGCTAATTCATCGTAATGCACTGATAAATATTCCACAGTCTACTTTGTAAAAAATAATGAAGTCTTAGTCATTGGAGACTTCACCACACACCTCTGCTGTTGAGTCTCCACCAAGACCTGTGGCACGAGCCCGGGTTCGCGTGTGGTGCGATGAGCTTTGCCGGGTCTTGACGGCTGTGGCTCTGCATGCTCCGGTCACCGGCCATGTTGCTCATACAAATGCAAAGAGGAGGCCAAACCTATGCAAGTCACAGTCTACCTGAGCAGTCTGAGTGGTTGAGGGATCCAACATCCCAGCTTTAGAGTAAGATCGAGGCAGTTTTTCGGTGCCTAATGCTCATTTAGGAACACAGACTGTCTTGGAAATGGCCTATGTGGTCTTTGGAGGAGAAACGGTCCATCGTCAGCTCGCTGCTCCCCACCGCCTCGC